TTTCTGTTTAAATCCTGATTTGCATTTGGATTATGGTCCGAATTGGCATTCAGATTTGTATTTTATTTCAATTGTAAGGTTACGTAAGTATATGCATACAGTCAATCTTTTATATATCATTAATTCAGCTTAATATAATAAGCCCTTTTTGTAATAATATTTGAAGACTAAAAAAATTACAGGGTAAATAAAAATCACAAGATTACATACAGAGTAATAAAATTGAAAAAACGTAGCACAAGCCTAAAAAATTCTCTTTAATTCAATAAGAATAAGAAATTTCAGGTGCCTTATACTTTAAAGCATTGTTAAAATTGTTAGCATTTGCAGTTAAAAACTAAATCTTATTTGAGTTTTTCATTGGCTCGATTTATTGAGAAAAAAAACTTGAACCGAATAATAGCAAAATTTTTGGAAAATTGGCCTTTTTTGGCTTTTTATTTGTTTTATAAGAATTGAAAAAATGAAATACGTACGTTTGCAAAATCACCATCGGGTATATGCATTTATTATTTTATTTATATGAAATCATACAACTATATTATGGGCATACTTATTTTATACTACAAATTTTGAAAATATTGCGAAACAATGCGACACAAAAAATATAGCGCTTTTTTTAAGACAAAAACAGAATTAAAAATCTTAAAATTTCTAATGATTTTATTTTTATTTTTTTTTTTATAAAATCAAATCTCAATAAGCAAAAATATATATGTGTATGTAATCTTACAATGTAGCAAGTATCAAGTTGAGGTAAGATAAATAAATAATGTTGCTAAATAAAAGTGTAAAATGCGAAATTAATGGAGGTGTACGCGGTACAAACGTTCCCTTTTTAATACTTTTTTTAGGAAAATATTACGTAAATAGTTGTATACACGAATATTAGAAACTGAGAAGAGTATTACAAAATCTATGATTGTTATTCTAATATCTATGCTTTTCTAACAAAAATTAATTAAATAGCAATTAATTATATTATTGCCTAAACGTTTTCTTCAGGCATTCTTATAACGTTTGTATTTCATTAAATTAAATTATAAGTGATTCAATCATATATGTACAAATTAACATAGAAAATTCATTTACCTATATGAACATTTTATTATTTTCATTTATTAAAAAAACTTTTACCAAGTGAAATTACACAAAATTTTAATCAGATTACGTGATTAACTGAAAAGATCTTAAGTGTATAATTTTATTAATGCTATTTCTACTTTATATTCTAATAAGTATAACTGAAAGTAATGCTAAGTAAGTAGTATTGCATGGCAATAAATTTATATTGCCTGAAATAATAAAAGCCTAACTAAACTGTTTCACATAAAATTTACAATTAAAGTACCTTTAATCATAACATATTAAAACTATAATTACGATAGTATAACAGAAAAAAATATTATTATATTATACTCATATCTTATTATATGTTAAATATAGTTATTAAAAATTTAATGCACGAATGAATGGAAATTTTGTTAATAAACTTATTTTGAATTTCAACGATAGCAAGATATTTTCCAAAATACCGCTAAAAATTTCAAATCTCATACATATATATGTATAGCCAAAAATTATATATACTTAACAGGCTTATTTTGTAAAGATCCAAAATACTCGTTGGTTATTGTATTAGATGAAATCGAAGGACAAAAGTTTATTTCAGTACATTCATACTTTTAACTAAAAAGTGAACTTTCATGAAAGTCAGTCGAAGACGAAATTAAAATGCAGAAGCGTACAAACAGGCAAACTGATAGACCAACGTTTCCTTAAAAATAATTTATTTACTTTTTTCAAAGCTACAGAAGGCCATTTTGACTGAAAACTTAACATAGGAAATTTATTGTGATCACAACACCACCTTATTGTTTACACAACAAAACTTCAAAGATGATTAAATGTTTATTAATCACATAAATGCTTGAAATTTCTAAAAATAATTTTAAAGGATCTAAATTATATTATACCTGAAACTGTTTCAAGTGATCCATAAATATTGTTGTTACAAAAATATTTAAGTCTTAGGTTCGTAAATTAATCTGAAATCTATGGCAATCTTAAGTCTATTAAACTAGACTTAAGATTGCCATAGATTTAAGATTGCCATACAATACTCAAATAATAACTTTGAGTATTTTTGAACACCACCAGTAAAAACTAATTAATTGTATCCTATAGTTAGGAATAACAAAGCAAAAAGTATTTAATTTTTTATTCGTATTCTCGTAAAATTTTTATTCTTCATTTATCTTATACATTAAAGGATTTGAAAACATAACATTAAAAAAAAAAAACAAAGAAAAAAATTGAATTTAGGACCTCTAAAGCTTGAAAAGTTTTGTTTAATGATCGATGACAAGAAAAACTTGAGAGAAAAATACAAGATAAGTTTTTCATTTTTCATTTTCTTGTTTTCTTTTTAGTTTTTCTCAGTTGATTTATTTCGACATAACGTGATCAAAAGATCAATTATTATAGAAAAAGAAAAATAACTTTTTTAGAAATTCAATTTTTTTTTTTTGTTTTCTTAAAACATTAAAGTATTTTACTAATGCACTTAGCGTTAGATGAAATTTCAATTCAATATCTAAATATTTAAACATACAAGCTAAGATAAGCGAATTTAAGTACACTTATATATACATACACACACAATCATTCGCATATACACTCACAAAAATGCTTGTTTTTAATGCATTTTAAATTTGAAAATTTTTTTTTTCTCTATTTAAAAGGAAAAACTTTAGGTTATTTTCGGAATGGCTTAAAATTTACGTTTTAAGAAAAAAAAAACTTGTACAACTCAACAAATATAGTGCTATGCATTACTATTGTAAATTAAACAATAATGAAATGAATGTACATATACAAACTGATTTTTTAAAAATGAAATCAACTCTAAAATGTTACATAAGTGATTTAAAAATTACAAAAAAAAAATTGTATTTACCTTAAAAATAGACAAACATAAAAATTGCATTTTATGCAATTTTAGATCAAAATCAGTTTTACTAAAATTGAAACATTGTACATACACTCAAATAAAAATTATGTTAGGATTTAAGAAATTAACAACAACAAAAATTAAAAATTCATTTCTCAATTTAGTAAACATTGTTGTTGATTAACAGGAATTCAAATGGTTCATAACTCCTGTATTGAAAAGTGCATTTTTGCACATATTCGTTATATTGGAATTTTAGTAGAACAAACTTCAAAATATTATTAATGGAACAGTAATAGAACATTATCTTGAATTCGAAAAAGACGATTCGAAAAAAGAGAGCTGATCATACAAATATTTAGATGAAGAGGCGGAATAAAAATAATGTAAGTTTTCATTAATTTATAAGGTATGACTCTCACATTCATCTGCTTTATTTTGGTGTCTTACTTGGGTTAGAATTCGCACATTATAACAATAATAAAAATTAACAATAATATAACAATAGTAATAAGTTAATTTTGAGTATGTTATTATATAGATTATCTAAAGTGAAACAAAATGTTATAGATTATATAAAGTGTTATACTATTCGATAAAGAATGTAATTAGCAAATATTAAGGACTTTAATAATTCAAGTGTTTCCGAACAAGTTTCAATTAAAGAAAGCTTGAATATAATAAGCAAAATCCAATACTGTGGATTAGACATTAAAGAAATTCAAAAAAGATTTAGGTATATGTGTGTACACGTATGTCTGTAGAATAGTTTAAATATTGAATATAATAGATTTGCTAATTTTCGAATCAGCCAACCTCTAATAAACTTTAATATGAACAAATAAATAAAATATAAGCGAATAATAATTTTATAGCTTATCGTTTGTATTTAATGAATTATGAGGTTTTTTGAATATTTTGAATTGAACGGTGTTAAATTAACTTTCAAAAATTTTGGTTAATGTTTGACTACTAAGTACTTAAAAATTTTGAAAGTGGGCAACATTAATTATATGTGAAATGAAAAAGGACAACATTAATTATGACTTTTTTAAGCAAACTTAAACACAGCTTTTTAATAAGTGAAACTCTCTATAAAAAAAATTGCTTTTAATTCATTTAATTAAATTTAATACATCTTCAATTATTTAATCCTCAATTCGTTTAAATATAATTACTTCTAAATTTGCAATCGGTTTTGATAAAATAAAATTAAATATATTTTTAATTTAGAGCAACACTAGATTTCTGAACATAGAAAATTTATTAATAATATTAAATTATAAGAATTTTATTGAATATATAAAGATAAAGTGTAAAATGAATTATTAAATTAAATAAAGAATAAAGAGATATGTGTCCACTGTAAAATAAAATTACCATTTGTGACGTTGTTTTTGAAAACTAACATTATTTTATGGGTTTTTTCAAATTAGCTCAATGAAATTGTTGGAAAGATACTTTTAGATTTTGACTCCGAACGAACATGATATTCTTTAATTAATCAATTTATAGACCTAAATAGGAGAGACAAATACTCAATTTCAATAGTTTATTATTATTTTTAGTACGTGATAAATTTAATTCACTCTATTAATCCCATCAAATATATTGGACTTTTTATAAAAACTGACAATAAATGTAATGAGTATACGCAATATTAACAATATTTTGTTTAAATGGTACATACATCATTTATATCAAATTATATAATATATAGATACATATTTTCAAAAAACACGATATGATTTATTCCAGTTATTTTAAAATAAAGGATTATCATATTACCCAACTATTTACACTTTGCTTTATAAAATTGTGATAACAAAATATCACGTTTAAAAAAGCAAATGTGCATGTGCATTGAAATATTTTCTTATTATTCTTTTTTCAATCTAACAAAAGAATAACATTCGAAAAGAAAACTATTATACGCTCACGGATGTAGTAATTTTATATATCAACGCATTTTTTCTTATATGTACATACATATGTATGTTATATACAATGAATATTATGTGTTTGTTAGTAAATAATATAGGCTTACCTTTTTTAATTAGAACATGTGTTTCAAGTTTTATCCAAAAGATTTTCTTTTTACTTTTTCTTCTGATATTTATTTGAAAATTTTGTTATATAAATTGTACATTACAGTTGGTTACATTTTTTTTTAAAACAACAATATTTATTTTTTGTTAAAATTTGTCTCAAAATTATTATTTTTGATTAAATAATTTAATTTATAATTATTTTGTAATTTAACACACAAGAAAGTAGAGAAAAACGAAATTTTAATGTAAAACTAAAAAAATATTATTTGATTTTCTTTTTTTTTTGAAGTAAAAATAAAATATATGTAATTAATCTTTTTTTTAAATATTTGAATTTGTTACAATTATAAACAAAAACTTGTAGATATAGGGAAAAGACAAAAAACTATTTTGTATTTATTTGATTTTATTTTTATTTTTATTATTTTTTTTTGTTAAACTTTCTTAATATTTAATTTTATGGTCCAATAATTATGTGCTGTTTAATTTTTTTTTATTTTATTTTTGATTTGTTCTTTTTCTTTCTAAATAAACATTATTTAAAAAATGTTATATATAATTTTTGGTTTCTTAATATTCACGTGCAATTGGTAAATCATTTCATTTCATAATAATTTAAAATTAAATTTATTTATTAAATAAATATAACATAACTGAAAATTTTGAAACTAAATGGTTTTTCTTCCCCAAAAAGAATAACAATGTTAATTATCAATCATGAAATAAATACAAACCAAACAATAATTTTACTATTAAAGATTAAATTGAAATTTGGAAATGTTTGCATTACAAATACAAATTAAAAATTATCAAAAATTTTTTAATAAAACTGATTTAATTTTTAATTTAAATGTAAATAATTAAAAACTCAATTATATAATTACATATAGATACATATTTTATATAATATATTACAATAAATGTTAACAACCATATAATATTGATTTTAAATTGATTAAAACATAAAAATGTATTAAAAACTTCCGGGTTTCTCAATCAATTTCCTTCACAAATATTTTTATTAAGATTTGGATCTTACTTACATATTTACGTATACATATAATTTTAATATATATAAAAGAATTTGCAGAATGTTCACGTTACTATCATAAATGTAATAAAATCGTATAAAAAATTTTTAAAAGTAAAACTTTCTATGTTCTTATTATTTATGGTTTCCTTCTCTTATATTTTTTCTCTAATAATTTTTTTATATTTAAGTAGCATATTAATTCTCATATTAAAAGTGTAACTTCTTTTCACATAAAATATGTATAGCTTTCTGTAAATTATCAAAATACACACTGATATTACAACAGAAAAAAAATTAAAAACAAAAAATATGAAAAAAAATAAAAGATAAAGTAGGTTTCGATATTATTAAATTTATTTTTTCTTTTCTTTTTTTCTGTTAAGTTTTCTCATTTAAAAACATAAATTTTCCAATTACTCTTAATAATAACGTCTTTAATGTTTAACGTTCGAAAAAGAACTGAAAATTTTTCATTCAAAGGTAAAAGAAAAACAAAATTGTTTTTTTTTTTCTTCTTCTTTTCCTTTTCTTAATATTTATATTTTACTTTTTTTTTATTATTATTCTTTTTTCTTTCTTGATATACTACATTATTAACCATTGTACTCATATTACTCTAATATAACCATGTCAATTTTTTATCGTATATACCACACATACTCGTACATACCTATATAGTGAAAATTTTTATTCACCGGCTTACCACCAACTGACCAGTTACAGAAATGAAAATAATATTATTTATACATATGTATGTATATACAATAATATAAATAATAACGATGAATGCATATTTTATAATTCAACTGGTCGTATAAATTGATAAACGGTTACTATATTGCTGCTACTGTTGCTATTATTATATTTATACATTATTAAGCACATACTTATATAAAATCTGCAAAGTTTTTTTTTTAAATATTAACTAGTTTATTGAGAGAAAAATTTTTTTTTAATAATTTTCTTTACATACATGGGTTATCTTTTTGTACACAAATATCATACTATGCATGGTAAATGTTACGTATGATGTAGGATATTATAAAAAACTTTAAATATTACAGATCAAAAGAGAGTTACGAATAAATAAAAGAAAACAAAATGTTTGTATTTATATTTTATATTAACTCAATATGCATATAAATATGTAGATGCATCATATTATTTACATATATGTATTAAATTATTATCATTGTACAACAGTGTCTTTAAAAATTAATTAACTTATATTTTATTCACTGTTTCTTTAAGAAATAACTTTAAGAAAATGTGATTGAATTAAAAGTTTTAAATACTAGCTTTTTTTTAATTAATTTATATTTAATGTGATTTAAGGGTATAAAACCACATTTATTTTTATTCGTTATGTTTTCTTAAAAATCGTTAATAAAGCTATCAAAAATATTGGGCTAAAAGCAATTGCATATATTAACGTCTGAAATGTAAAGTAGAAAGAAATGTAAAATGCAAGACATCATTAAAAAACACAGTCGTGTTTAAGAAGAAATATTCACAGTAAAAATATTCTTTAGTTAGACTATAAGCTATTTATTTCGTGAACTTCTTTCTAAAAAATTTAAGCAATAATTAATTTCAAATATCGAAGAATAAATATATATGCATATATTATTATATAAGGAAATTTAAAAATGAACTATGTTACAATAAAAAGTAAAACTTGGTAATGAAAAAATAAAAGATTAAGGAGAAAAACTTGACCATAGCTCATTTAAAAATTTATAAATTAAAACAATTGCCAATAAAACTGCATTAAAGTTGAGACGTTAAATATAAAAAAATCTCAATTTTAAAGCTTTCATAAAAACAAATGGAACATGTGCAAGTATTACCCTATACCTAATCAATGGAATATTTCTCAAATTTAAGTTATTACCACCAAATATTTGTTTAAGTTTTTATTGCATTATTCACTTATATTTTAAAAACACAAGTACTATGTTAATATTATATTCATTAATATTTCTTTTCATTTTTATTGCTGTTACAATAACAAGTAAACTCAATTCAAAAAACAAAATAATTAAAAGTTTATGAAGGTATCATTCCACGATTTCTTTTCCATGATGCTCCAGATTTCCTATTATGATTAGCCCTACTAGACTTATTTACTTCTTTTTTATGTCTATTATTTAATGTTTTTTCATCTTGGCCTTGACCTTTAGGATTTCCAACAACATTTCTTGATTGATTAAATTTGTTACCACTAAAACCGCCACGATTATATTTAGCTGCCCTTTTAGCTTCATAACGTGCTCTAATTACTTCAGGATTTTCACAGAAATCTTTACTTGTATCTCTCTTTTCGTCATTTTTATTATCCCCTTCATTATTTTCTTCAGAGGATTCATCTTCTTCCTCATCTCCATCATCAGGTTCGAGCTCATCAACTAATAAATCTTTGCCAATACCAATTCTCGTCCTATTCAATTTTGATTCGCTGTCAGCTAAGGCATCGTAACTGTCATCATACTCATCGTCGTATTCATTATCTTCACATATAAGATCATACTGTTGATAGCGTTCTTTCAAAGCCTTAACGTGACTTTTATCATCTAACAATTGTTTCATATTTTTTGGTTGATTAGGAAAACCTTTATTTGCTTTTATTATACAATTAGGATTATCATTTGTCATTATATCATATTGATCTCCATCAAATACATTGTATCTTTTAATTCCAGTTTCCATAAACAAAGTGTCTTGCGGATCTGGAGGTATCAATACTTCTTTTCTGTCTGCGGTTTCTAAATCAGGAGGTAGGTTTCCTTCTAAAATAGCAGCAATTACTTGTTCTGAATTATCATAGCGAGATAAAAGTCGGTTAATAAAACCATCGCCCAAGTCCGGAAATACTTCCTTAACTGCTAATATTTCTTCTTCAAAGATTCTATTGTGATTTTGCTTTGTACTTTCATTAGTAGAAATCTTAGATGGTTCAGGAGATACAGATTTTTTATCTTTAATAAAGTAAATGTTATATTTTAATTTAACTATACTTTTTAAATATATTCCATAAAAAAATTATTAAATAAAATTACTCAAAAACGTACCAAGAATTTTACTGTTTTGATTATCGTTTTTAATCATATCTAGTAAAAACGCTTCTCCTTCACTTGTATAAGCTTTGAAAATAAAGTCAACTTTAAAATGATCTCTAAATTTTACGTTTTAAAGAAAATTAAAAATTTTAGAAGAATATAACAAATAATAATTAGCACAAATATAAATTAAAACACATTTAAATTGGAAAATATTGTGAATCAGAAAATCCTCGTGTCTAACAATATTTGTAAAAGGATACAAGTTAGGGCAGGCCTGTTTTAGAATATCGATATCTTGTTCTATTGGGAAATAAGTTTGAAAATCAATAACAAATGTTCTGTCAGCTAAACATTCTGTTAAAGTTGATATATAATTTTCAGCTTGTTGGATACTTTCCTCTCTAAAAAAATAAAAATATACATATATTTGCATAATGTGCAATACATATTGTTTAATATAAGAATCTCAATTGCGTCCTTAGATTGCACTTACGGGTTTTTTAAAATATTCTCAATATGAAGATTAATAATCACTTTAAATGTTTTCAAGAACTCCATTCTCGCTTTATTCAAATAAAGCAAACTACTTGAGTTTGAATCAATCGTATAAATATTTTTATAAAGCAACGGTATAGCATTTTCGTAAAATTTTGATATGCTGAAATAAAAAATTTTTAAATGCACAAATACGAGTACATATCACCTACCGATATTGCTCGTGATAGGTGTATTTATAAACTTAAATAATTTTAAAAGTTGAAGAAAACTATCTACCTTTGTTCCATTTTTAATTCATTGCATATAGATTTCGCTTGTGGTAAGATCTCTGTTAAGATGCTAATCGTCAAAGCGCAATCCAAAGTGTATAAAGCTAAATCATCTAGTGTATTAATATCCGGACTATTTTCATCGACAATTTCTTCCGTTTCCGTTTTTCTTTGAATAGTTTTTAGTGCTGTTTGAAAATATTGAAGACTTAATCTTAAATCATTTAAATACTTTGGTTCAATTCTGAAAATAGTTTGAATCACTCTTGATAACATTTCGCGATTTACACGTCCGTAGGTAATAATTAAATCAAATATTAAAGGAATAGATATTATAAATTTAGAATATAAAAGTTCTTGTAAATGTTCTTTGGTGATCCATTCTTCTTCAGATTCCTTATTCGTGATTATTCGACATACGATTCTGAACGCATTATTATAAATGTTGAGATAAGCTGGTAAAACCTTTCTGTTTTTGGTTGCTGAACATATGTTAATATAACAAGGTGTCGCCTCCTGAAAGAATGACAATATCGCCTCCATGCATTTTTTATCATAAATAATATGAGACCAAAATCTGAAAACAAAATTATTTTCTTTAAATCTGATGCACTGTCATAGAACATTTATTACTTAAAATGAGGAAGTTTAAGCAAAAATTCTAAATCCTTGTTGAAATAATCAGCCTCACATAACCATTCTGTTATTGCAGTTCCTTCTTCTATTTTACCTTCAACAATGGGTAGCGGTTTATATTTTGTATAACAACGTTTTTCAATCCAATGTTCACTCTGCAAAAAAAAAAAGAGTTAAATTCATGAAATATCGAAGTTTGTAAAGTTTTTACCAATGCTGGAATTTTAGTTTTTACACCATCATATTTCACGGAAAAAAATAATTTATTTAAAGGCAGTTTTGCAGCGTTCTAAAAGGAATACAGTAACCATTAAAATCATAACCGTAGCCAATGTTACTTAAAATCAATTTTACCAAAAACTCCACTTTCTGCACCATAATTAATACTTTATTATAAAATTATATTTTTAATTAAAACAAGAATTCTTAAGATTTAATTGTTGCGTTTCTTTAATATTTGGAATTTTACTGCACCACTTCAAAGAAACTATCAAAAATGACATTTTAGTTGCCAGTTGCCACCTGTTTGTTGTATACATACTTATGTATATTTGTGTACAATGTAAATAAATACTTTGAACTGATTCGTTGATTTAATAGGCAGATTTAAAATAGACTGGCAGAAAAAAAGAACACTTTCCACCCAAAATTGAAAATCAACTCAGTTCTCATTTTTAGATACCTCTTTAGATACTACTTTACCGCCAAAAGGAATTTTTTCCGTTAAAAAATTAAAAAATAGCTAAATCAATTTTAATAAATAAGAAATAAATTTTTAATAATTAAAATAACTTGATTGAAAATGAATTCAGTAAATTTCATTTTAATTCAAGTTTACTGTTTAAAACTCCTACGAGCTCCACTTTTTTGCGAATGGTGGTAGTAAATAAGGAAAGTGGTTTTTATAAAGAAATAACACGTCGGATATATTGTACAAAACAACATAATTATGTATTGTAGTTCTGAAAAAGTTTCATAAAGTCTAAATTTGCTTTCAACATTTTAGAAGGCCAAGTTAAATAGTAAATGGCAGAATTAAAAAATTTTTGTGTGAGTTTTACTGGGCAGTAAGAAAAAGTATATGGTAAAACTTAAAAAATAAAAAAACACAAAATGCTTTTGAAATCAATTTTTAGTGGTCAGGTTTCAAAGTAGATTTTTTTCATTCTATTTTAGAAACGATGTGGAAATTTGTCACATTTGGGAGCTAAGTGTAAAAACAGAACCAAAATGAAGAATTCCGCTGGCAAAATAGAACAACAGCTGAACGCCAAAATCAGTTGCTTAGCATTTAGCATGCAATACGATAACTGCATTGAAACAAATGATTCACAAAAAATCGCCGGCGATAAAAAATAATTCTAGGCTATTGTAGAGCCGTCGATTATATTTCCGGCGGTAGTAACTTGGCTTTATTCTGGCATTTAATATGTATTCAACATGAATTTTGACATTTCACCGGCCTTGTTCTGTTTTCATTAGTTAAGCTGCATTCATTGGTTCGTCGTTTTTGAGCTGAGCTATTTGTAATCGAACTATTTTTTCTCTTAATTGTTCTGAAAAAAGCTAGTCGTTTATTTTATTATGATTTTATTACTTTTGTGACAAGAATTATATGTAATTGTAATAGTTCAGTATACGTAAATTTGACGTTTTAAAGAACCTCCGCAGTAAAGTTGCAGTTGATTCAAATTTTCGAGAGAGAGAAAAAAAGCTGTACAAATAAAGAGAATTACAAAAATTCAAATTTTCATACAAAATACATTAGCTCCTCGCGAAAGCGGCGAACCAGTGAATCCAACTTAAGTCGACTTCTCGACGAGCTGATGTATTTTGTATAAATTTAAAATTTTCTAGAATGCCGCATACCGGCACCATGTTCAGTGATTTTAAGCGAATTATCTACTGCTGCAATGTCATAATTTGACATATGTCATAGGAATGTAAAGTTTATTTTTGTGATGTTTTTTTGTAATTTTATTTAATTACGAAGTGATTAGTAAAATTTTTTTCTGAAAAACAATAATTAATATTTTCTTTTAATATTATATTAGTACATTTGAAACAAATAGAGTTAAATTACTAAATGTATTAAGAATTTTTTCCAATAAACATTTAAAACTCAAAATTTTCGAGAAAAACAAAGTGAAATGTTTCGAATATAGAAAAAATTTTGAATGTAAAGTAAATAGAACATAAATACTCAATACAAACATGGATAACGATAATACATCAGTGCTTGAGGGTAAAATATTATTTTATTTGTAGAATTTAATCACAATTAATGCAAATGAGATAAAAAACATTGATATGATAATAATAATAGATTAAATTTTAACGTTACTGATTTGGGAATAAATTTAAGTTGACGCAACTTAGCACTCATTTAAAAGATATTTTAATGAAAATTTTGTTCATCTTAAATGCATAATAAATTGCGTATATACGTAATTTATCATAAATTTTGTTTTCGTTTAAAAAACAATTTTTTGGTAGTGCGTTTATATAATTTACAAAGAAAAAAATTACTTGGGCTATAAGGATTGTAAAATTACATACAACTTATCTCTTTTAAAATATTTACATATGTACCTATATATTAAAAATTCATTTACGAGTCAACAAAAATCGATTTGGCAAATCTTTTAGTAATTCGCAGTGAAAATAAAATTCAATGTGCTATTGTATGTATTTTTTTGAATTCCAAATAAAAACACAAAAAATTTCAATAAATTAACCAAAGTTTTCATTGTTTACCTTTACTTTTTTAATTTTAAAATTTTGAAACTTAAAATTCATTTTTTAACATAGATTTCAGAAAAAATCAAAAGGATTTTATAAACTTTAATATTTTTATTATTTGTTTTAATATCGTACCTAAATGGATTTTACAATTGTAATATTATTTATTCTGTTTTAAAATTTTTCGACGGTTTATATACAGACGTGCCAAATTGAATTGTTGAATCTACTAAAAAAGCCCAAAAAGAACTAAAGAAGTTGGAAAGTTTTTTATTCTGCATTATTTGGTATGCTTCATTTTTCAAAGCCTTTGTACCATTGTAAAACAAAACACTCGTACTCCTCTAAAATCTTAAAATTTTTTCAATATTAAATATCATATAATTAGTCATTTCAGATAAGTATACCTACCTAAGTACTTACATCATAACTGATATCGCAACTTCTTAAAAATTTTATTGTGGTATTTTAAATAATTAAAAATTATTAATCTTCGTCTTATTTTCTGCAAAAAATTAATAATTAAATTAGAGTAAAATAATTTCAATAATTAGAAAAATGAATCAAACTAATGCCATGATTAAACCAACTAAACTGTAAAAATGCAGGTGAATCATTAAAAAACAACAAAAGCTTACTTACAACAGAGTGTAATTTAATCCTTCCTTGTTCATTTCTAATAAAACGTAAAAAAATATTATCGGGATTTTTTAGGTCAAAAATTTTCTATTTCATTTTACATCGATATTTTATTATTTGAATGCTAGTCGATGTGTTTACATTCGCTAGAAAACAACAAATTTTATTCAATAACAAAAAAAAATTTACGTGAAATCCCATATCGGTAATAGTAGAATGAAAAAAATAAATAAAAAAAGAAAATTTATACTCCTAGGAGTTTTAAGTAATTTATTTGAAACAATATCTGACAAAGATGAAAAAGTTCGCAATACAGTTGAATCCTCATTGGTTAAAATTGCTGAAAAACGGCCAGATGACACCTTTACTATTTTAGCAGAATATCGTTGTAAACATCCTAAATTATCTGATCAAACTGTAGCTGTTCTATTAAGGTACTTATATTAATTTACATATGATTAAATAAACAAACTATACTTTTCCTTTTAAATTAAAATTTTATAGAGTAATTGAAAGTGTTAAACTTACAAAAGTTGGGATAAAAAATAAAACACTCGAAAAAATTATTGAATTGGCTATTAATGAAATAACTAAAGCTGCTGACAATTCACCAGCAATTCAAAGGCCAGCTTTAGAAATTTTAGTATCAATTGGTAGACAATATTGTGACATGGTAATGGGAGCATTGATTTCGCATACTCCTGATGGTAGTGTACCTCATTTTATGATATTATATTGTATGGGAACTTTAGCAACAGCTAATATTCAAGGTTCTACACCATTTTTTAAAATAATATTAGCGAGTATCATACCGAATCTCGGTTCAGTAAAATTGGATCATGTAAAGCAAGCACATGCATTTGGTAAAAAAAAAACTACATTTTAGATTATATTTATATATAATCTAAATTATATATAATCTAAATTAATATATTATATTTAAATTTAACTTTAAAAAATTTTAGTGATTGGTCGATTTAGTGAAGCTCTTCTAGATGGATTAACAAATGCTATGGATAATCCATCTAATGATACACAATCATATTCGGTGGAATTTTCTGTAGCTTACGACGTTCTTCTAAATCAATGGCTAAATAGTCGTGAGCCGAAAGTTTGTAGCGAAATATTGCATGCATTATCTAGTATGTATCCTTTACTACCTTCCGAAAAAATTCAGGATCAAGCGAGTAGATTGATTCCGAACATATTACATTTATATAGAAGATCAATTGATAGAAATGCGATAACACAATTTTTAGCCTCAGTTTTGAAGACAAATATTTCAATGGATTCAACTTCTTTGGATACACTTGCAGATTTAATAGTTACGCAATTATTTGATTTGGTTTGCGTTTATCCTGATTATGAGAAGCCACAAACTATAAAAGGTCACTATGAAGTTTTACGTTGCTTTCATTTACTTGCACCAATATATTCATCAAAAATTATTGAGATGCTTTTAATTCATCTACGTAGCAATAGCGAACGCGAAAGAATAAAATCATTACTAGTTGTGACACATTTAATAAACTCTAGTGGTGAATTTATAGAAAGTAAAATTTATTCATTTGTAGAGTGTTTAAAGCAAATGATTCTTGTAGAAAAATCAATTAAAATGAAAATGACTTTATTGAAAGTTATTGTCGCTTTAGCGCAAAAATCTTTGCTTAAAGATAAAGAATTTATTTGGTTTATTGTACGTCATTCGTGTAAATATACTAAAATTAATAGTGAGCATGGAAGTGCAGATGAACACAAGGACTTTATGCAAACATGCCAAAATTCTTTAAATATGTTATCATCAACAGTTTGTACCGTAGATAATATTCTAAAACGTGAATTATTAAGTTACTTTTGTATGCTGGATTATACAGATATAGCTAACATTATAGTAAAATGTTTGGCAAATTTGTTGTCAAAGAGTGTTGAAATCGAATTAGATGTCAATAATGAATCGGGTAGTAGTAGCCCAGGAGATGAAAACAATGAAAGTAAAGCTAAAACCGTAGTTCCAAGTCCAGAGGCAATTTTTGCTCGCTGCATAACATTAATGGGAAATTTTCGTGAATCATCTCGAATTTCGAACATACTCAATTTCTTAAAATTTTATTATTGGCATTTAAACCCTGATCTAAAAGATTTGTGGGATCATGAAATACAAGAGCTACAATTAAGTATTGGAAGAGAAAAATTAGTGTTAGATACTTTATACGATTTTATAACAAAAAGTGTTGAATTTTTAAATGAGAAAGATCACAATTTTGCAGAAAGATTGACTAATAAGCTTGCAGATCAATTTATTTTATATCCAATTAACACCCCACATTCAGATTTCGAAATTCCACCCTTGCATATGGAGCGCGGCATGTTGATTAAAGCAATAGGCTTATGTCTGTGTCACATCAAGTAAGAATTACTTAGCAATAATTCAATTGAAAATAAAACAGCTTTTCTTTTTCAGGGAAACCCAAACAATAGACAGCAAATTTGATTTGATTGTTGTAGCAGCAAAACAAGAAAAATTGGATAAACATATTTCTCACTCAGATTATGAACATAAGCTTGTGGATGCCGCGCAAGCTATCGGTTTTATGTCAAAAGCCCATTTGCAAATATGTTTGAAAAAATTAAATGAAATGGCACACTTTGGTAATAAAAAGCATTCTGTGGGATTTTTTAGCAATTTGCATTTTATGAAGGATTCACATAAGGAAATTGAAATGTATAAAATGAATTTGTTAGTTTTTGAATCATATGGAAAAATAATTGAAATCGCAAATCCATCTGAATCATTAAAGGATATTGATACAACAATGATTCCGTTTTTGCTAACGCATTTGACTGAGACAAAGGACCAAACAATGAAAAAAGTTATATTAAACACGCTACTTAATATTACAACACAATTTTTAAAAAATTCTGAATATGGGTACGAACTTAAAACTAGAAATGAAATCGAACAAACAATCTTGAATATTCCAATTGAAGGAAATATGGACAATCTACTTTTATTTCCTTTAGTATTAAAATTAGGTGCAAATATTTTGCGTATTGAAAATGATGATCCACATGAAGGGGGTGTAATGTTTGAGATTTCATGTAAAAATTTCTTTTCATGTGCCCAAAATTTAAAAACAAAATTTGATTCTATTGAAGAGGATGAGAATAACAGCTATTTAGCTCAATATTTAAACCAATCTTTACCAGAACTTAACAGCTTGGTCAAAATAATGATAGAAAGTGACCCGTCCCCAGCATGTTTGGATTTAGTGATATCTATTTTAGAAGGTTGGGTCAAACATAAAAATAGTGAGGTTCGTATTTGCGCGGGTCACGTTTTGAATAATTGTTTGGATGTTTACATAAAATTTATGAAAATTGGATGTGAGCAACCATCAAAATTCAATCAAACCGGGCAAATGTTAGGGAAAATAATACCAAGGTAAAAAAGAAATTGCTAAATTGTATTTTACGAAAATTGATGTCATCACGTAATTCTAGATGCATAGACTCCAATGCAACTGTAAGGCAAACTTCGGTGGATATTTTGCAAAAAACTTTGGAAATATCATGTATTTACGAAACTTTAACTATACCAGATAGTTCGACTGATTGGGTCAGAGATATTGAAAAAATTCGTGATACAATTATTACAGATGACCCGAAGGAAATATATTGCCTTGCAGGTGATATCGCTAAAATTGTGGCTTATAAAATGTCAAATTTTCAATATTTACAATTTTGGTAAATTATTTTATTTACGTATTTATTTTATTAAAAGTTTTCAATTGAATTTGTTTTTCTAGTAAAACTCTATTAAATTGCCTTAATGACCCCGAAACAAGTTCAGCTATAGGAGCCTCAGTTGTTTTAAAATTTTTTATTCAACAAAAGGGTGCAGAACTTTTTCACTGTATACCAGATATGGTTAAGGATTGTTTAAATGTAAATAACATGGGAATACAAAGTATTTAAAAATATATTAATTCCTAATTTTAATTTTTTAGGCAATCAGAAATTGTAATATAGAGAGGGCTCGTTCAGGTGTACAAAAAGGTCTAGTTGCATTAACAAAACACCACCCAAAATTGGTTTGCAATGAAATTCTAAACCAACCACTTCCTTTCGATGAGTACATCCTTATTCAAATCGAAATTTTATAATTATTGTACATAATATGTATTTTGTAGTTGCATTGTAGAATATTGGAATACGATATGCAGTGAGTTGGAGTTGACTGAAATAATTTTAGAAAATTTTTTACAAATCTTATCGTCATCATGTTTATATGAGCAAAATGAAAACGGTGAATCTGATCGGCAAAGAATAGCAACAATTCAACCTTTCGCTATATTTTGTGCATTAAAAGAAATTTTCCCTTCGAAGGAAATTCAATCAGTAATTACTTATAAAATAAAATTGAATCGAAAGATATATGTATATTAATTTCGGGTGACTTTTTTTTCTTTTTGTTTTTAGGGATTGAAAAAAATGTTTCCTGATTTATTTGCTATGCTTCTAACTTCTTTGGCAACATATATTAATCTTGCTCCGCCTTTAATGTCACCAAAATCTTCACCAGTCACTGGAAAGACACAAACGATCAATAACAAATCAAGATTTGGATTCGTGCCAAATAAAGAAGCTGTTAAAATGGTCCCATGTCAAATAGTACTAGATGCTTTCAAGTCATTTTTATCGAATTTGGAAATGGAACAAATCGGAACAGTTCTTACAGTGTGTCCGAATTTAGGTACAAGTACGGATCTAGGAAACTTCATTGAACTTTTAACGCCAATGGCAGTTGGTGTAGTAAATCAGTTTACCATGGGATCTAGTACAATGCGACAAATTGTTGTAACTTTAAGTAAATATGTTTCGAGTCCTTATGATGGCCAGCGTGTTGCTGCAGTTGGTCTTTTTTCACAACTGGTACCATTAAAACCATGTGGTGAAATTTCGTCAGTAATTATGTTGCATTTGTCATCAGCTTTATCTGATCCGAACCCGACCGTACGTGGGTTATCTATTCGTGGATTAGCTTTCGTTGGCAATCTCACTGATCATGATATAGAAAAATATACAGAAACTGCCATTACCGCTTTATTAAAAGGAATCGATGACTATAATACGTAACCTTAGTATTAAATAGTTGATTTGAAAAAAATGCTTAAGAATATTCACTTATATTTTAGTGATTGCCTTATCAATATACCACTAGAAAGTAAACGTGGATTATCAAGAATCTTCCAAACGTTATCAAGTGAGAGAGTTGAATCTTTTCATATTTCTTTGGCAATTCGTATTCGACCATTTTTTGAAAATTCTTCAACTGAAATAAGAGAAGCAGCAATTCTATTGTTTGGTGACTTATGTGAATCCAAAATGCTTACACAAAGTGCAAATGATTTAACATCATCTGATTCATCTGAAGCTCTTAAAGAACAATTATTTGCAAATTTATTTTCCTTATTATTACATCTAAGTGAGACTGATCCGACAATAATAAGAGTAAGTATTTTATTTATGAGAGAAAAAAATATTTATAAAAATAAACATTTTTTGTGTAATATTTAGGCCTGTAAAGTTACCCTAAGGAAAGTTTGTTGCTTAATCAATGCTCCAAAAGTTAATGACATGGCTCAGAAACATCTTCTCGATCATGGACAATTAAACTATAACATTTTTATTGTGGATTTTGTTAAGCTTATTGTAAATAATTATTTAACTAAATAGGAAAGATTTTTTTAACTAAAAACAATAATTTTCTTTAATATGTTTAAGGGAACTGAACTTAAAGAACACATTCAAGATTTTATAGAATCTTGTATCCCATTTTTAAGAAGCCATTGGAGTGAAATCCGAGGAAATGCGACAATAGTAATTGGTAAGAATTAGGTTTTAATTTGTATATGCAATCTTTTTTTAAACACTTTAAAAGAAAATTTCGATACTATAGTATTATTATATTTATTTTAAGGGGTTTTGCATAACTACCTACCCACACACAATCAACATAATGAGTTAGTTGGTCATAAGATAGCTGTTCTTCTTAAAGACGAAAACGTGACAGTACGTCATAAAGCTGCTGCTGCTTTGGGGTATTTTTTTGGGAATTTATAAATGACTTAAATATAAACATATTTTAGGAAACTTAATTTTGTTGTTATATTTGTAATATTTAAATTTTAACTATCTACATAATTAAGAATATAAAAATACCGTCACTGTTTGTATTGTTATCAGTTATCACCAAAAGACTTACTATTTTCTTTAAAAAAAGCATAAATTCACAATTTTATATTTTTATTCATTTTTTTTTTAAAAGAATTTAAAATCACGTAAAGTATGTATTTGTTAATTAAAATTGAAAAAATGTTAGAAACAACTTGTTTATTTATTTTTAGTCAAATTTAATAATCCAGAAAAAAGTCGGAGTTTAATTTACAATTAAAATTTAATCCAAATGTTATAGTTGCAATACTTTTTATAAATATTGCATGTTTATGATATCCTTTTAAAAGTCATTATATTATATTTACATTGTGATAGAGTTACAATATATTGATACATACATCTATAACATAAAACTTAAAATTTTTACGCAAATATACGTTATCATATAAAAAATTTAGCATTTATTCATTTTAAAGTTTATTAAGTACAGCATATTAAATATTGACAAATGGAAAATATTGGATACGACCACTGGACCAGCCAATTGTTAAAACAGAATCTGAATTTCTACGATTAATACTTTGAAAGCAAATAAATGAAGGATACTCGCTTCCTATACCAGTTAGGAAACATGAAGGTGAAATATTTAAATTAAATTTTGTTAACGATGTCATAAAAATTGCAATACAAGATGTATCTTTAAATATAACGGCAAGATATCGACCATGTGGGTCCCACGCAATAGATTGTGGCAATCCTCCTAGTTCCCGGTATCCAACTGTAACCTTTGTTAAATCGGCTATTGGTAAAGCTTGTTTTGGCAGGTTAGACGCTAAAATAAAAAAATATATTTAGCTGATGTATTATAGAAAAAAGCCTCAAGATCTATTATAGTTTGTAATATACGAGGAAAAAATTTAACTTAAAAATTCTCCTCACCTGCAAACAAACCTCTTTTTTTCTATGCCAAATTTTAAAAAGAAAAACACAGTTTTTTTTTATTTTCTTTAAAGTGGTTTGGCAATATATAATCACCAATATTCTGCTAGTCGCACCAGGGAATGGGGTGTTATTAAAAAATTTTGAGTTTTCAATAATATCAGAGCATTTAAAATGATGCGACTAATAGAATATGAGGGAACATATGAAAAACAATTTCATTTTTAACAGACTTACTTGCAAATAATTGTTCTTCTACAAATTGTAACCGATATAAGAACGATTCTTCCGATGTTACAAAAAGCAAAAATTTTCCGCATGGTGACCATGCAGCCGATTGAATTTGTCCGAAATTAATAGTCCACCTTTCGGGAGTCCAACAATCTGTACTCCAAACTCGAAAAACGTTACTAATTGTGGATGAGAATAAGCTTGATCCATCAGGAGACCATTTTAAAAGTGAACATGAGGGTCCAACTCTTCTTAGAGGAGAATTTTCAATCATATCAACATTCCAAATCAAAACATCTGCACTTCCAATACTAGAAGATGCTAAAAGTGTTCCATCTGGGTTCCACTCTACAGCAATAACAGGATAATGTTTGGGGTGCTTTAAAAACAAAATTTGTGAAGCAGGCTTAGAGTTTTCTATTGTCCAATGACATATACCATCTTCGCAGCCTACAGTTAGTTCAGAAGAACTGTAAGGCCTCCAGGCCATACACGTTATAGATCTTTGATTAGGATGCTAAAACAAATTCTGTTTGTCAAAAATTTTGTTTGCATTAAATTTGATACTCACCTTTAAAACTGGAACAATAGCTGGCTCATCCTTGTATATTCTAATAATATCATCCGATCCCGCAACAGCTATTTTGAAACAATTGGGATGCCATACAATCCATCGAATACAACTTTTGGTCCAATCCCTCGTTTGTGTGTATTTAGTAATGCATCTAGTGTCTTGATCTTTTAAGTGTGGTAAAATCATAAATTTACATTTGTTTAAGAAATCTATAATTCTATGTGCATATTCAGCCAAAGAACATATTATTGGACTTTGCGCTGCACTTTGAGCGCTTCTGGCTTCAAATAATGCTTCTTGAAATCCACTCTCAAAGAATGTCCTCGTAATACGTTTAATAATATGTTCATTAACAGGAATCAAAACACTTTTGTATGATGCCATTCTAGAGGAAGAGGTATTGAACATTTCCCTGTTTACATTAATTTCAGGATAATATTCAGACTAAAATAAAATAAAATAATTACTCAATTTCTTTTCTTATTTGTACATTTTATCATTACAATGTAAGCATTGCCGGTTACTTCTTTTACGGGAACAGCACAAAGACGACTTATTCTTTCAGATCCCCCAATGTCGTATGAAGAAAGATCTTTTAAAGAAACCATTTTTAGCAGCAATTACTTAACTTTTTGAAAAGTTTTCTAAATCCACATTTAATTCTATATACTCAGAAACGTAATATATTTTATTAAACCTTAATTCAAGTTTAAATCGCGCAAACTGAAACTTTGAAAGCAATTTGACATAGCCTGACAGTAGAAAAAGTAAAAAAAACATGTGGAATGTGGATTGTATTAAAGTATAGAATATGTTAAGTTAAAAGCAGTGTGATGTATTCTAAATTAATCCATATTAACCCACTGACAATAATAAAACATTATACCGGTCAGTTCAATACGGTAAATTTCTTCATGACCCAGAAATTTACCGTATTGAACTCGTCAAAATTTGCTTCACTCAAAGAATCATGACGAGAATATATTGTTTGTATCTGTTCAGTGAAAGAGTATAATATATTGTTTGTGTCTGTTCAGTGATCCATAAAAAGTTAAGATCTCTTTCAAATGTGTATCTTTTCTACCTTAATTTGAAAACGCAACACGGTTTTTCGCGGTGAAATGTCAAAATATATATAGATTTCATATATTTTAATGGCCAAAAGACTGCCCAGAATCGAACGAATTACCGACGCTAAATTATAATATATGTGTGGTATATGAACAATACTGAACAAAACTAGGTTAACACGGACATTGTCCGCCGTTGCCGTTCACCGTTTTTGTCCTGTCTTTACAATTACAATCTACTTATTGTCTACCTTTTTTATCTCTACTTCTTCACAGATGGCGCTTAATAGATTGTTAATATGCATAATTATGGGACGGTTGAAAAGAAATGTCTTAATTTGTTTGAAATGTCCTAATTTGTTTTTCTCCAATCATCTGATTTAAGTGGGATTGTCAAAGTTATTAAATTGTAAGTTTGTTTATATTTTTTTACTCATCATCGTTTTTTTCTTAATATAAATGTAATACAAATAATACAAAAAAAGGCAAAGTTAACATTTATTTTGATTAAATATAATTAGCTTTCTCAATTTTTTTTTCTGATTATTTATTTTTCTAACCTACATGCAAATAAACATCAGTCAATAATTATCATAAACAAAAATATTTTATTTTAATTAATATTTATTTTGACAAACACATAAATAATAATATAAAACTATACAAAGATATCAATAATTCAATTTATTTTACCATAGCATAAAACTTATATATCTATAATCAAATATTAAGATCCGGATTCATCAATACGTGGTCTATATTTAAAAACAAAAAAATAAACGATAGAAATGGTTAAACTTTGAAATTAATTTATGATTTACTTCCATTTTCGTTGATTACAGAATCTTCCCGTGAAACCTTCTTGGCATTTACATGTTCGGTTTGTTAAACACTCTCCATGAACACAAGGCTTTCTGCAACGATAAGATTTATCACGTTGCCCTATTTCACAATGATCGCCTCTTAACCCTAACGGACAATCACATTTATTCGTTCCTAAATTTACATGCATAAAGAAATTAAAAATATAATAATTTTATTCTATTAGATTTTCCAACTGACCTATACATTTTCCTCCATTTTTACATGGTATAAAACATCTGGCTATATTATAGATAGAACATGAAATAATTTTATTTTAATTGTTAAAAAAGTTTTCCTTACACATTTCACATCTTGGTCCAAAGTATCCTTTTGAGCATTTACATTTATCTTTTTGAATACATTTGCCACCATTCAAACATTTATTGGCGCAAATTCCTTCAAGTAAAGTATGAAATAATATTAGTTCATTGCAGTTTTTAACAGATGTACATCGATGTTACGATCAAGGGTTAATATTATTAGTATACTAAGAAGACTTTCATCTGATGCCCAAAATAATCAAGGAACAGTAAAAGGCAATGCTAGTACTTGTAGACCATCTGCAGCAATTGACGAAATTATTCGAGTTGACCATGCTGGAGAGCTAGGTGCTGATAGAATTTATGCTGGTCAGATGGCGATTTTAGGGAATACTCCAGCAGGAAAAACGATACAACATATGTGGGAACAAGAGCAAGGTCATAGAAAACGATTTGAAGAACTTATTAACGAATATCGTGTCAGACCGACAGTAATGACCCCGATATGGAATGTTGCAGGATTTGTTTTGGGAGCAGGTAATTAAAAATATTTAGGTACGATACATACGTATACATATGTATGTATATATTAAAATGTTACAAGTGCATAAAGATACTACGTTATGTTGCTACGTACATGAATCTATATGTATTTATATTGTTTTTTTTTTTAAATTAAAGGAACTGCTTTAATGGGTGAAAAAGCTGCCATGGCTTGTACCGTAGCTGTAGAAACAGTTATTGTTGAACACTATAACGACCAGTTAAGGCAAATAATGGAGAGTCCAGATCCAGATAAGGTAAAACCAACCTTTGAAATAAGAAAATTTTTGCATACTACATTGTTAACACATAATCTTTAATTTTAGAAACTTTTAGAAGTGATAACTAAATTTCGTGATGAAGAACAAGAACATCATGATACAGGAATTGATCATGGAGCAGAACAAGCACCATTTTATAAATATTTAACAGAAGTGATAAAATTCGGTTGTAAAGCAGCAATAGAAATTTCTAAGAAAGTTTAATTTTTCTTTTAATTTACGAATTCGTTTTAATATTAATTATTATGACTTATCCTTATTGAAATAAATATGTATGTATATGTACATAAGTACCTACGTCATGTAAAATTTGTAAGTTACCTCCTTCACAGTGCTTTCCTTGATAACCAGGTGGACATGAACAAACATTTGGAGCAACACAAGATCCTCCATTCATGCATTGTGGATAGCATAAAGCCGTTTGACAGTATTGTCCCATATAACCATTTTTACATTGACAAACCTTTTCTGGATTGCAATGTCCATTTGAGTTACATTTTTTATCACATTCCGGATCAGGACCTATTTTACCAAGTTTGTTTATTTTGTTTAATTAGAAAAAAATGTATGTCTCAAATGACAAGCATGCCTTTTTTCCTTTAAAGAAAACAATTCGTTCAATTTAATCATTTTCTTTTTTATCCTTCAAATCGTTTTTAATATTCCACGTTTAATGAAACTAATTTCTTAAATGGTTTCATGCTTTGTCATTTTACTATACACTTTATTTTTATAAAATTGACGATATGAACTGATAAGATCCAAAAATGAGTAAAATTTTACTTGGATCTTCCCTGTTCATTATTTCGGAATATATTTCAACAATTTATTTGGGTTAAATATGTATGTTAATAACACAATAAAGCTCAAATATTTTAAGCATATTTATTTTAAATCTAAAACAAGATAAGGCAAGCATACTATATAGAAATCATGCGAACAGAAATATTTATAACCAGAATTTACTTTGCCCGATTACTTTCATAATAGCCTTTTTTCTGTTACATAAAATATTTTTAGGCAAAGGACATTAAATATTTAATTTAGAATTAAAAATGTTGGGCTTTCTAATTTATGCGCACATTATTGTTATATTTAATCTTTTAAGCATTAACTCAAATAAATTTGTTAAAAGTATAAAAAAATTAATAATTGCTTTTTTAATGCATTATAAAGCTCTGTTTTTGTTATTTAGAAAAAAAAAATAAAAATTACAAACTTAAAATTCTATATTTATATTTGAAAAGCAGCTAGTTATAATAATCAAGCATAAATTATAATATAGAAAGTTTTGCAACCAATTTTTGCTTTGTTCTAAACTAAATCTAAAAATTAAAGCGGCAACAATTATACATATGTATATGTATATTATGTAAAAAAATTAATTACAATAAGTAAACCCATAATTTATTTTTTGGTGTGTGGAGAAAATTAAATAAATTTTTTAAGCGATTCTACTAAAAAAGTTATTAAAGTTGGAAAAATTAAAAAAGCAATCTTTTAAAATTTTAGTTTTTTTGTGATTTTTTGTTTTTGCAAATAATAAAATAAAAATAAAAAATTGTTTTTAATAAAAAGCATAAAATACACTACCTTGCGAAGTAGTTAGTGAAGTGTTGTTTCTATCATACACATACACACCTCTATGTGCGCATTCCTTATTGAAAGTCAAACGTAACGGTGTTCCAGGCAACTGTTTCCCATGTCTATCTTGTATTAATAATCCTATACCAAAGGCAGCTACACCTGATAAATTACCGGTGCAAGGTAAAAATATACTAAAATCTGGAAAGAAAAAGAATAATTATTGTTAAAGATTAGTTTTCTAATATTGTATTCTTATTTCGAAAATTAATTATTGATGCATTTTTCAATTGACTTGATATTTTAAATATTGTACTCGTAGTTATTCTTTTAACTTTTAATTAAAGAATGTTTATTCTATCTTAATTTAAATTACTAAGAATAGCATAAAATATTAAATTTTAAATTAAACCTTTCTGACGTTTCGGAATCCGTCCTTTAGTTTTAATTGATACTGTTGGTGGTTTAAGAATATTTTTGTCTGAACTTTCAAGACGATCAAAATTGTAATTATATTTTTTTCCACCTGATGTCCATGTAAAATTCACTGAATTCACTTCGGAAGGTATAGTTGGTAATTTTTGACTAAAATTTGGGTCTCGTAAATCTATATTAACACAACTGTTATGTATTGCATATACTCTAAAAGCATAACCTAAAAAAAAATAAAAGAAAATTTTATTTATTGATTTTTATTCAATTTAAAGATTCTCCATTCAATGGAATTTGTAATTTTATAAGAAAAAAGCAAATAAAATCATTTTATGTTTTTCAAATTTACCACTAAGTACTTTTAATTGCTGTTCATTGATCCATAATGAGAGACCTTGTTCCCCATTATCTAGATCTTTGTTATGATTATTCCTTTTACTATGAATTGGTTTTGTTAAAATAAAAAATATTATAAAAATAACTATAGAACTTAAAATTTCTTCAAAAAATCTCTTCATTTTCAATTTGTTTTTCTTTCTCTGTAAAATAAAATAAAAAGTGAATTGTTTTAAAATTGAATTTCCAATGAACATTTTAATAAGGGATCTTTAATTTTACATAATATATCTAGAGATAAAATTTGTTAGTAGTCTCTTAATATTGGTTCTCTGAATAAAAATGAAATACACGAATGACATTATTGTTATTGGTATAAATTACCTTATTTACTTAACTTTACCTTATAAATTACCTTATTTATTATTTACTTAATGGCTTATAAAATTATTAGTACATAAATAGAAAACTTATTTAAGGTATCTTAATTTTAAATGGTGATCATTCTAGCTATTCTGATAACTGTTATTGGATGTTAAATCAAATAGAGTTTGGTATAATAAAACAGCTGGGGAATAACGGTATGATTAAATTTTTCATTTTCATTATTCCGAATTAATTTTTATTTTGTGAGAGGGATAAAAAAAACAAGAGCATAAATTTTATATTGCAGTTAAAGAGATTTTATAAAAATTTGTATTCTCTTTTCTCTTTGAATCGGAAATTGTATGATTAGAAAAATTTGTATGAAACTCTTCTTAAAATTACTAGAGGTAGAAGAATAATGAATAATGGATGGCTTAAAGAATAATAATCCGGAGGGTTGCCTTGCCACCAAAAGAAAAAAAAAACTATTAATTTCCTCTGAAAATGTGCCCAAACCAAAAAAAAAAGGTTTCTGAACGCAATTACATATAAGAAAGGTCTGAAAAGCACGTAAACAATCGTATTATTAAAACGTTGCATAAAGCTGAATATTAACATGTGTTGCGTATTCCTAATTCTATGAAAAGTTGTAAGCAGCCTCTTAGGTAATGAGTGAAAAACTGCTAATTTGATGGGTATAAATTAAAATTTCGTCTATGTGATCTGTTTTCCATGCAAGATTTCCCAGTTAATTTCGTGAATAGGTTCGACTCAGATATTAAATTTCAAAAAATTTTTTAATTATTTTCTTAGACAGCTATGGTAAAAATATAAAATCCTAGAAAAAATCGATTTCCAAGCCCGAATGTTCTTAGAAAATTTACTGATTCATTTTTTCTGATTTAGTGATTAAAAATTCTAAGAAATTTGTAGTTTATTTCTCTTTATATGAGCAATAATTTAAATTCAGCCGTTGTAGAAGTTTCCTTACTGACTCCTGATGAGTTTATAAATAAAATTTTAAGGAAATCTGTTTATTTTTTTAATAATAATCAAAAATATAAAATCGGCTGGTAGTAAAGTTCTAGTTCCTAAAACCGGACTTTTAAACAAGAAATTTTTTGGTTTCAAAAAATTAGAAATTCTTTAAAAAATTTACGAAATCAAAAAAGAGTACAAAGTTACCAAAAGTAAATAAACTTACAATTTTTCGTAGAAAATTATCAATATGGCAGCCCTGAATGATACCTGTCTGTCTGTTTCATACAATTTCTCAGAAATTTCATGTATGATTAGGTATAATGGAAATGGAATAATATTTGGTATAATATATAATAATTGTAAGTAAAAAAATTGTTGTTTGTATGATGCTTGTTTGTAGTATGATATTCCTGCCAAATTTCAATTAAATTGTATAAAACAAATATTAATTCGAACAATACCGAAGAGAGTTGTTTTATGAATATTAGCATTAGATTAATTTATAGTGTTATAAAGTACTACAGGAAGAGATGATACGAAAAAATTGCAATGGAAAATTGAATGATTAACAAAGATTCATAAATTTTCTCAGTTGGATACTGGTTTACACACTTGTATATAGAGTTATTTTGTGAATACGGGTGTGGACATTGTTCAATATTTTGATATTATTTTATCATAATTTTTTAAAATTTATCACCACAGTTTATGAAATAATTGAAAAAATCATATATTAAAATATTACGTAATTTTTCATAAAATTTGCAATTTGCTGTAATTTTGCAATTTTGAATCCAGAGGAGCACGAAATTTAAAAAGGTACATAGTACACGTATGAATGAATAATAGTACGAATAAAGAATCCTTATTTCAAACCAAAGGAGCTTTTTCTTTAACGAATTAAAAAATATGCCTTAAAATTTGTGCAAAAATTACAAATTTAATTTAGAACGCAAAATTTTAAGTTCATAAATATTTAATTCGCTCGAGCATTTTCTAATTATACTTAATTTATGCAAATTTTTTCTTTGTTTTGCTAAAATAAATTATTATAATTTAGAAATAGTTTTATTAACCCATAATATGTTAGAATGAAATTCAGATTGGTTCTGCTTTTGTTTATATTAAAATTAAAAGAAAAAACATTAAAACTTTATTAAAAGAAATTAAATACATTGATATAAGAATTGTAAATAAACATAATAATTTTTTATATGTGAAGAAATTTAATGCAGGGCACCCCAGTTTGTGTGTTTAGTCATTTCAAATTCTTTTATTTATTCACAACACACTTAATTATATAGATTATTGTTTAATAAAGTTTCAATTGACTTATAAATCAATAATGTATAAGAAAATACATATGTGTATACAAAAATATTGTATAACTATACACAAAACTAATATGGACATCCCGTTATTTAGTAAGCTAAAAAATCTTTTGTAGAACACTTCCTGAAATAATTTTCAATTAATAGGCAATATGAATTATTCTTTTCATTTTTGGGTAAGAAATTCTGTGGTCAGAGAAATATTTTGTTATATAAAATATTACTGCTTAATGAACTTATTATTTACTTAATGCTTAGTGAGCTGTTACAAAACCTCTTTGACGAATTCGAAGTGCAAAATAAACGTAATTGATCTGTTGCATTGCAATATAAATTGTGCTGTTAATTGCATATATATAGGCGGTCATTTCTATTATAACCTCTTTAAAATATGTATGTGTAATTTCATTATATTCATGTAAAACTGACACATTAATATTAGAGTCCCTGAATTTTTCGTTCATTTCATAAACCATTCTAAGTAGAAAGAATCAATGTTTTAGTTATAGTTCCGAAAATGGAAGTTTTTAAGAAATTAATGCATTCAAACCCTAAGTTCAAATGACTGCATTTCGGATTTGATTCAAATTTTGAAAGTTTATCAATAATGATGAAATACTTTATCTTACTAGATAAAATTTTTTTTTGTAACTTCTCTTCCTTTTTAGTTTTAATTCTACTCGAAGGTTTTTTCCTAAAATTATGCAAATTTGTGTGAAAAACTTTTTAAAATTATCATTTTTTAGATCATTTTCATTTGTTTTTCAGACTAGACTTAAAGCTATAATACATTTACTTGAAATTGTTGAAGCTCTTTACTTAAATTGTTAACAAACCATGGGTTTGATCGACTACACATTTTTTTATTACATACATATTTCCTAGTTATTGGAAAACGATGTTGACATGATTAATAGCTCACATAAATTAAAAAATAAATTATTTTCTATCAATAAAAAAATGTTTCGATAAATGTGTACAGATATATATGTATGTATACTAAATCGCGTTTACAGTTTGAATTGACAAATTTTCCCAACATAAGATTGATTTATTTATAAAAATCTATTAAGATCCCATTGAAATCAAGAATAGTTTGTATATAGTTAAATTTATACCTTACATAAATGTTCGCACATTTACCCAAATATATCTACATACATAAGTAACTCATTATTTATGTTTAAGCACCTTATACATCTTTTTAGTGTCTTCATACCAAATATATGTTTCTATATGCTCATATATGTATGTATAGCGTACTTTGAATTAATATTTTTTTTATAATACAAGCCTAATTTGAAAATCAAAAGAGAAATAAGAAAACCAAAAATTAAAAAACAAAAACATATAGAGGAAGAAAATTTATTTTTCATTTAATTTTCTTTTCCTTTTTGAATTCTGGAGTTCTGACTGAATTGGTGACTGTTTATTTTGATGAGAACACATAAATGGTTGATTGATCTTTATGTTATTCTTTGTTTCCTTATATGTTATTATTGTTATTATTTTTTATATACAACTTTATTTTCAAATCAAGTTATTAATGGGTGCTATTATTATACAATCTCTCTATTTTGATTTGAAGATTAAAGGTAATATTAAAAAAAAAAAATAAAACAGAGAATAACGGCAACGTAATAAAACTTACCTACAATAATATATTACATATTTATTAATATACGTATATATACATATAAGAGTACGTACTCATATATAAGTTTTAACTCTAATAAGAATTGCAACTACAATGAATAAGGTAACATTCACTTGTTCTTTTACAAGAAATTTTGTAATAATGTTATACAAAATATTGATTATATTTAACAATATACGTGTATATATACATACATATGTATGTATAAAATGAAATTAATAAAATGCGGTTAAATTTTGGTTAAGTGGTTTATAATTAAGAAAACAAAAAAAAAATATCAAGGACAATTTGTATATGGTAGACAAATAATGCATACTATATGTTTGTATGTAAGTGATCTTAAAATAAAATGTATGTACAAGCATATATCACATTTAATATGTGGTTAAATGAGCTACTTTTTAATCAAAGTTCACTATTATAATAATTTGTAATATTCACCCTTTTAAAACGCATAGAAGCAGAATCTTACCGCACTTATGCAAAAATATTGCCATGTAAAAAAAATTTTTTACGATATTTGAGAATTTAGTATATTTGCTATATATTAATTTATTAACACTTAAACAAATATTCTAGAAAAATTACAGTTTTCCTAGAAACTTCAAATTGGTTTTGTAAAACCCAAAAAATTTTAACACAAAATAGAACAGAACATACATACATATATTAAGAATAACATATAACAGAATTTATATTTCGTGTACCTTGCTGAAAGTGTTGCAAAACAAAAAAACAATGGCATTTATTATAATTTTTTGCAAGAAAAATGAATTTTATTCATATAGAGGATTTACTCACGCAATAATATATTAACTCCAACATGATCCATTCATGATCGGCAAAGAATAACCATTCTATTTTAATA